CTTCTTAAAAAAGAATAAAGATGCAGAAAATCCGCGCTCCTTCAGGCCAATATGCCTTCTATCCTCCCTAGGGAAGATATATGAGAAGTTAATAGTCAATAGACTCAGATTTCACCTTCATCGCAGCCGCTATCTCAGTAATAGACAATTCGGCTTTAGAGTTGGACAATCCACCACTCATGCTCTGCACGCTATCTTGGAGGAAATACAAAGGAATAGATCAGGCAACCTGCACACACCGCCTTCATCTCGCTGGACCTCCAGAGTGCCTTTGATACACTCTGGTGGCCAGCAATCAAGCAGGCACTCAGGAAAGCGCAATGCCCCATCAATCTCTACAGCGTCCTCTGCCACTACCTGCAGGACAGAAGTCTACTAATAACTCATAACAACGGAGTTACTACTAAACACCAAGAAAGGGGCTGTCCGCAAGGCTCGTGTGCGGGACCGATTCTTTGGACGATTACTTTCAACGCCATCCTGGAGGCCACATGGCCAAGACATACGTCCATCGTCGCCTACGCTGACGATGCCGCACTGTTAGTACAAGGAAGAACCCGCGACGAGCTTGAGAAGAATGGCACCGAGTCTTGTGCACTCTTTGCAGAACTCTGCGGCAAACTTAAACTTCAACTATCTGCTGAAAAGTCCTGTGCCCTGATCATACCGAAGCAAAGAGCCAACCTGAGACGCAAACCATGCATCAAGTTAATGCAGAGGAACATTAAAATCAATAACACCTTAAAGTACCTTGGCCTTCTGTGGGACAACAAATTAACATGGATCCCCCACCTCCAAAGTATTAAACAGCGAACTTCCGAAATAGCAAGAAAAGCCCGCCTATTTCAGGGGCGAAACTGGGGTCAAAATCCCCACATACAGAAAATTCTTTATCTCACAGTCTCAGAGAGAAAATAGCCCTTTACGCTTCAGCAATATGGGCCAATCCGATGAGTGGTAGAAAAGTCAAACAGCTGGGAATTATACAACGACCTTACGCCTTACTCTTGTGTAAGGCCTACAGAACAACGGCCACTAGTGCAGCAGTGGTATTATCTGGTCTAATGCCACTGCACATACGCGCAGAAACTGAAGCTGCTTACGCTACTGTTATCCATTTAAAGAAGGAAGCTACCTTCTGCGGAAACACTTATAGTCCAGTTCAGTATGAGCATCCAAAGAATACCCTGGAGACGCACCCTGCGCACAAGGGAAGAAATATAAGGATTCACGTCAGCAGAAGTGGCGAGCAAATTACAATACAGGATCCACGGTACCCAATGCAGTACTATACAGATGGATCCAAGCTCGACGAGGGTACAGGTAGTGCCTTCGTCCTGTACCACGGAGGATGCAAGGAAATCGAGTGGAAGGGGCATCTTCAACCAATAAACAGTACATTCCAGGCTGAAGTCATAGCCATTACCACTGCGATTCAGCATGCAATTGACAGCGGGATCACCGATGCAATGCTGTTTACAGATAGCATGTCAACGCTATTCGCCCTAGTCAACCATAACCACACCTCCCCATTGGTAGCGGACCTCCAGAATATCTCTACAATCACATCCTCAACTAATTGTAAATTTAATATGGACTAAGGCACACGTTAACAACGAGGGTAACGAGACAGCTGACCAACTGGCAAAGGAGGCAGCAAGCAACATAGCTGCACAGATGGTAACTATTCCAGCGCCACCCTCGTATCTCAAGAGAACTCTTAAGGAAAAAGGTCTGCAGAAGTGGCAAGCTGAATGGGAGACCTGTGATACGGGTCGCAGAACCAATTTATTTCTGCCTAGAGTGAAAATGGAGCGCCAATACTCCATACCTCCCATCACTAATTACATCTCGGGGCACGGGCCCTTTCCCACCTATTTTGAGCGATTTGGTATCTCTCATACAGGCTTGTGCGTCTGTGGGTCGCTCGGAACTCCAGACCATTACATCTTTGAATGCCCGCTCACGGAGGATAATCACCTCCACTTGCCAGCAGACAACCAAATAGCCTTCAAACGATTCATCGTTAATAACAAAGGCACAGTGAATACCATCTGCAGAATAATCAGCCAGATAACCGCCCTGGGGCAAGACCTATGCCAACCCCACTAATTCAGGGTCTTAAGTGAATGTAAGTACTCCTCTGCATCTAAGGAAATACAGTATCTTCCTTCTGCTAAGCGCATGTACCTTCTTTATTAATAGTATTTATGTGTCATGTCATGTATGTGTTATGTTAATATTTTTTTAAATGTGTAACCAGTATGTTATGTAACGTATACCTTGCAAACCTAAATCTGTAATACAATATAAATAGCCAATGTATCTCTCATCTGCCCCTGTATGGCAATGTAATAAATCTTTTAAGATCTCAATAAACCTCCGGTAGATAGGGGAGGGCGCGGGACATATGCCTGTTTACCTCTGTTAAACACCAGGCGTCCCCGTCCTCCGTCACCTGTCACCTGCCCCACATGGAGGCTCCATATAGTGCAATACGTTCAGCAACTACAGAGTACCACGTCTTAAGCATCCTCGAAGAAACTCCCCATGTTGGTGCTGCTGTTCTGAGCATGGAATGAAATATCCTGTGAAGTCGTGCCTTGACCTCCTTTAAATGTGGCATCCAAGTCAATGTGTCGTCAATTATAACTCCAAGGTACCTCAAGTTTCTGACTATTTTAATATTTTTCCCATGAAGGTTGATGCACGGGGTTCTTCGATGGCGCTTACCTGGACAGATAAGCATACCTTGGGTTTTTGAGTTGGCAATAGTTAACTTATGGTCATTGGCCCATTTGGCCATCTTGTCCATTGCTTGTTGTGTGCCCTAGTCTCATATGCGTTGCGGCTGTGCCCTTTGGTTACCAGCAAAAAGTCATCGGCATAAGCCAGTATTTCCGTGTGAGGATCTGTGTTAAAGAGAGTCAGCGCTGTGTCCGCTACAAGATTCCAGAGCAGTGGACCCAGACAGGATCCTTGAGGACAGCCTCTATTGATGGAACGTGAGTGCACTCCTGCGTCCGTAGTGGCTTGTAAGCGGCGATCACTTAGGTAGCTGTAAATAAGGTCAAAGAGAATCTTAGGGCTACCCATGTCCTGTAATCTCTTCAGTACATCGGGCCACCACAACGAGTCGAAAGCGCCCTGTATGTCCACAGAGATAATGAGACTATGTTGGTTATTTCTTCTGTTATTTGCTATTAATTTTCGTAGGTGCTGCAGCGCGTGATCCACCGATCTGCCAGGAATGAAGCCGTATTGTTTGTCATTTATGCTTTGTCCAGACAGGATATAGTGTTTAAGTCTTTGAAGGACGACTCTTTCTAGTACTTTACCCAAGGCAGGAAGAAGGCAAATAGGCCGGTAAGACGTTGGTACATTAGGGTCTTTTTTCGCTTTGAGGAAGAGCACCACCACCTCACCAAGTTTCGTGCCGGCTGGGAAATATCTGTTGCGCCAACACGCAGTGATGTAGGCATGCAGTAACTCCGGATGCATACTGTTAATGGCTTGCAGAATGCCATTATCTATCCCATCAGGACCTGGTGCTTTATTGGTGTTTAACGCTTTAACAATGTCGCTTTATTTCTTTGGCGTTTAGGCAGTGGTTCAAAATCTGTTTTCTTGGTATTGTAATATTGCTCAACGCTGGCTCTGATATTTCTTTGTGCGGGATTATCTGTGTCTGCGTTATCAGGTCTAAAGATATTGTCCAGAATGTGCGCAACTACTTCTGTGCTAGTTGCTGCTCCGTGGCTTATTGTGGCAGTAAGATTAGTAGGTGTAAACATCTTGTCATGTGCAATACGGAAGACAGTTCCGAACTTATTCGCAGTGTTGGTACAGTACTCTTTCCAGGATGAAAACTTCGCTTTTGCAATCAGTCTTTTGTAAGCAGCTCTGTGCTTTCGAAAAATTAGCGAGTGTGTCTCTCTTTCTAAGGGATCCTTGCATGCTTGCATTTTGCGCCTTAGGGCACGGACTTTGCTGCGTTCAGCAGTCAGCGTGGTGCTCCACCAAGGAGTGCATTTCGGGGCTGTGTAATAATCTAGAGCACTAATTTTTTATGGACGATATCATGGGCAAATGTTCTGGTAACGAAATTATATTAATTAACCTTATTATTGCAGGCTTATCAGAAGGCAGCTGTTACTTTCATCAACAATTAGGCAATAAACGCACATTTGTCTTGCTTTATATACACGACGCGGGAGTCAAGCGGTACTTTTGCAACAAATTGTATGATAAGAGTGTGTGCGGTTGTAAAAGTGGGCAGTGACTCCACTTTGCAGTTTAATAAGCAGTTTCCACATAAGCAGTAAATATTGTTTTAGTACTTTTAATTAGTGTGATTAGTTTTAATCACTCTACTGGATGTAAGACCGTGATTTTTAGCAGTTACCAATTTTTAAACAGAGATCTTAACAGGAAAATTAGCAAATTTAATACAACCAAGAAGATGTTATTTCATATAAGAGATTGTCATTATAACTTTTTCTATAATTTCTATAACAAATTCTACAATAATTTTCTAAAATTCTTCCATAATAAAATTTGTAGTTGTCACTATGACGCTGAATAGTTACGAAGATAAACTGCTATCACAACGCAGTTTGTTCAACCTTTTAATTAAGCAAAGTAAGCATATGTGCTAAAACCTGGATTCGTTTTTAAATCTGAAAATGACAGTTGCGTTTTCTAAATTAAAATAAATGATTTTAATTTATTAAGTTCTTTTTATGTTAAATAAGAATCAAAAGACATTTGCACTGTAATATACTGCTGCCAGTGCTCTCTTGGTAAAAAAAAAAATAAATTTGAAAGCCCAAAATTTAAGGCTTGATTCTCTTACAGGTATTCAAGTCTTTCTTCAACTGCATTTAAATGTTAAGGTACAAGTTAAGAGACTTCAATGTATTATGAATCAAAATAAATTTTAAGTTTGTAGTCGTTTAGCTATTAATGATGAAATTAATTTAACAGAAATAATGAAAATATTAAAACGAATTTACATTACCTCTTTTCCAGGCTATAGAATCAAAGGGAAATCCACCGAAAGGGCAGCTCACCATAAACCTTGTTCCAGCTAGAGCAGTTAAGTTACTCAAAGGTCGTATGAATATTGGTCCAAACACGTTCAGTCTCTTAGAATGTTTTACACTGCCGGCATCATTAAAGGCTTCACACTGATATAAACCACTATCAGATACGTCTACTGATGTAAAATTTAAATAGCTGATCACGTCACCAGTGCTGCTGAGATATGTGCTCACTAAAATACCTGGACGTGTAGACACAGGCCAGATGCCATCTAGATGCCACTTTATCTGTGGAGCTGGATTTCCGGATGCAACGCATACGAGGGACACATAGCTGCCAGGCCTTACAATCTTTTCCGGAAACGTCATTTTCATCTTCGGAGCCAAATCTACAAAAAGAAGAAAAAGAACCATGGAAAGTATACTCCAAGTAATGAGGAAAATACAAAGAAAACATATTATATAAGGTGTTTAGAAAATGGTTATGAAATGTGCATAGAGGTCCGGAACCCGCTAACAGGCAATAATTATATAGGTTCGCAAGAGGGCTCTGTACGTCGGGAAGATGTCTGGTCTGGATGCACCTACAGGAAATGCTATTTGTGTGTATGAGAGTGAGGAAGTATGAATTACTATTTGAATATAGGGCAACGGATTGGCCGCGTAGGATAATAATATGACTTAATGAAATGGATTTACCATAAAGTTATGTATGGTATAAAAATTAGTCTAATCTTTATCAATTTTAACGAGCTGATAATACTATAAAAATGAGAATTTCTGAATACATAATTGTTTTTATTGTAATTATAAACGAAACAAAATCGAAATATGCATAATGATGTATCCTTTGTCAAAGAAACTGTTACGGAATGATATCGCCTGACTTGAAGTACTTCATCACAATTTAAAAGAAACACAATGATGGTTGGATTCGAGCAATCTTGTTCTTCATAGATTATGAAATTCATTTTCTGAGCACTGATTCCTTATCACAAAGCTTCAATCGTACAGTAAGTCATCAATACAAGACCGATATTTAATGGCGATGGTGATGGTGAAATTTCTGACGCATAACCTAGCATGTTTTGAAGCACCAAATATATAATGGTAATATTCATTATATCATAAAATAAATAATATCATAAAATGCTAAAAGCAGCAAGAAAATGTAACGAGATTTTATTATGTTGTTAGGGGACAAGATGTAACACAAGAGCTAAAATAATACTCTGAATTATAAAAACTAATGATGAAATGAAGATATTTGACTTTGCTTCGTTATGGAGTAAGGTATCTAATTCTCATGTAACAGATTTAGGAGACCATTGCTCTACTACCAGGATTCTCACAGCAACTGTTTAGTACTTTATCACCATTTGCAAGTGAGCCTCTACGCTAAGCGATCAGTAATTTATGTCACCTAACTCAAGTCAAAAGTGGTTGAATTCAGCACACAGTCTCTTGAAAGGAGCTGTAAGTAAATGAAAGCCACCACATTTCGTAGACAGAATGCAGGCATCAGTTACAGCTTTTTTTTTTTTTTTTTTGATGAAACAAATATAGAAATAATGAGGCTATCGCTATTATACTATACTTTGTGACAGTTTAGTGTTACTTTAAAACCAAAAAGTATTAGTTTGAGTCTTTACTGTATCTTCTCATCACAGTCATGCAACTTGTTCTTTTTAGAAAGTAATGCAGATTTATGTAAGCGTATAAAAGTCTTAGGAAAGAGCGACTGAGTGAAATGGAAACTACACAGCCGTGCTCAGGGTATTAAATTAGCCTTTGGCGAACGTTTGGTAGTAAAGCTGGCTTTTTTTTAAATTGCTGTGTAAATGGTAAGCTGCAATTGAGCTTGATCCAATGTCCTATAGCTGTGAACTTGTTCCAATAGCTGTCCATAGGTAAGCTGCAGTGAAAATGAGTTATTACTCGCTAGAAAAATTGTGGTTCCCATTAGATTAAACTGAACTGTTAATTCTTCAAGATTTTAAACTTGATTCTACATTCACTGTTTAGTAAATTTGAAATTGTAATAGATTTAAGTCTTATTAAATCTAATTTTATCCCAGAGTTTCATGAAAACTCATGATACAAGATCTGTTAACACCTGTTAGATCTTACGCAGAGCATTAAGGTGTAGCTAGAGAAAAAAAGTCGCTCTATTATAATAAGAAAAGAAGTGCTTCAGTAGTACAGGTGTCATAACCTTACAGAAATCACTGTGAGGCGGTTCACGTATATGTTCGGTGGCAGCACTGTATTCTGGTATTAGCACTCTGGTGTTTACGGATGAAAACGTCTGTGTTCCGTTGTATAGGAACCACAATCTTGACCTTTATAATAATTTTTATAAATGTACAATATAAGAAAGTTTTATTTCATAAAATGGAGTTTTTTAAAGTAAAATGTTACATTTGTTACATAGTATTTCTCGTTCGCATCGAGTTTGAAAAGCTGAAAAATATATGCAAAGAAAGGTACAGGTGAGCTGCCCAGACTCAATTTTAAAACTTAACGTTACGTTAAGTTAATGTCAATATAACATTACGTTATAGAAGAACGATTTCTTTTCTGAGACTGTTAAATGACATTGAGATATTAACACACAGCTCGTGCATGCTTCAAAATGTTCTTTAAAGCCAACTGAGTGGACTGACAGCATTATAAATTGAATGAAACGTTAGTTTCTCATCATACACTCTCATGAAATGTGACTACGTGACTGCATTAAATATTGGAAATATATTGTTCATTGCCTTGTAGTACCTAATTTTCGGACAAGTTTTCCTATAATCTGAGTTTCTGAGGAAACATGCAATTCGAAAGAAAATTATGATATATAAGCCATTTATCGAATGGAATTTCTCGAAAGAATGGATTTCCTACCATTGCCATATATTTCATTTGAAAATGAAGTTTATGCATACAGTTCTCTGTGTTTCATTTTGCTGCTAAACCTTTGTTCAGAACAAATTATCCAAACAAGAAACTGAATGCACGCTTCGAAAGTAACGTAATTAAGGTTACTTGATTATTTAATTATGAAAAGCGCATTATGGCTATATGCCGTAATTAAAATGATATATCGATATGGCTTATATTGTTTTTAATGGGTCATGGGATAATCGAATTAAGAATCCTTAATTTAGCAGGCAGTTCATATAGTAATTTACAAAGCAATTTTATAGTATTAGCTACAAATAACTTTCCTAATATTCATCATAGCAGAGTATTTTGAACAAATAAATGTAGTTTTATTAAAATTATTTATAACATACCTCAGAAACAAAATTATTTACTGATATCGTTTCTTCCTATTATTATTTATACTCAATGAGATTTATAAAGTATATTTAATACCACAATTTACGAACTAATATAAAGTACTTTTCATTTAATAATTTTCACGTACAAGATAATATATTAATGGTCTGGCTAAGGAAACTTTAAAATTAAATTACTATATTTCAATGCGATCTGTAAGCTAATTTACTGTAAAGTGAAGGAATTTTCGATTGTTACACAGAAATTAAATAGCCCTTCCAGAGACACCTGAGGCTTACTAGAAATTCCTCTAAAGTGGATCACTTCGTAAACTAAACGAGCACTTAAAATTATGCATTAAAATAATTAGAAATCGCCTTCTCAGGAATTTTAAGAAACTCCATTGAAAGCTCATACATTAGTGGGAGTGAAAATAAAACTGATGATGACATCATTATATTTCCTCCATGTATTACTCTGTATTTGGTATTCTAAATTTGATTGGTAAAATCCCTAGAAATGGATGTAATCTTAGTACGAGTGGAATTTTATATTACATACTAAGAAACAATATATAATACTGCGAAACATTTAAGTGCAATTTCCTTTTAAAGTATTAAGTAACTTCATGGGTCAGTTTCTGTGAAAATATTGTTTGGTTAATTTTATTAAAATCTACGTGAATGTGCTGTACAGAAAATCATGTCCAAATGCTTTAGAGACTTCGTAATATAATTCAAGTTGATTTCAGCTTCTTTCAGATCATTAAAGTTTTTTACTAGAAAAAATGTGTTAAATTCCTCCATAATAGTCTAATAAAAAAAAAGAAGGCTATGTGTAGGAAAATATAAACATCAATTTAGCTTTTGCAATTTAGCAAATGCACACTGAACAGCCTCGGTGCTCAGTTTCATTTTACTGTTTATTACTTTTGTTTCCAGAAAAGATCATTTCCACTTGCAAATGTGTAATGAAGATAGAAAACGCTCCCCATCTAATATGGCTATAATTTAATAAAGTAATTATCTGAAATAGTTATGCTATATATGTTTAATAAACCTGCTTTTAATATTTATAAGTAAGAGTTATTTCACGTTCAAATTATGTTTTAATTGCAAATATTTAATAATTTCCCACTTTTTAATTTATTAAATAAGCTAATTCCCAAATTAAGCAAGTGTTAATCATTTAGAATTAAAATTTTGAGATTATAAAAAGTCCTTAAACATAAGCGAAATATTTCTCAGTAACAGGCAAAATATTTTGTTTCTTTAAGTGTTAATATTAAACGCATTCTCAATAGATACACTGTACTTTTTATTTTAAAATTCTAAGAACGTAGAAATGGCTTTGAAAAATTATAATTTAAAAGTAGGCGATATAGTACACAGATTAAACATCAAATGCTTCTTCGTATCTATGAACTATATTTTCTCAAGGGCGCATTTATATCAACTGTAAAGCAGTAAATAAAGATAATTAAAAATAATTTAATTAAAGAAGGCAGCAATTTCAATTAAAAAGTATTTTTTATAAAATCTAAAAACCATATAATATAAATAAATTTTCAAAGTATAATAATACAGCATATTTAAATAACGGTTGAAAATTCCCATCTTGCGAAACAGTCTACACAATACACATTGCTTTCCTATTATAAACTTACATATATGAGACAATGATAATTTGTTTTTAACAACATGGGTTCACAAACTGTGTCTTTGAAAAAAACCGCAATCATAGAAAAATTGAGATTTTAACTGATTAAATTGCTAATCAACTATCTGCTTTTCACAAGTTTATGAGCTCCACTCACAAGGATATATCTTTTGTACTGTATTTAGTAGATAGCTCCATACATAGTACCTCTTGCATTTTTGTTCTCTATCAACAATTAAAACAATATTAAAAAGTAATCCGAGAAAGTCAAGTTAAAGGCAACATACATATTTGGCATGTTAAAAGTATCTGCAACATTTCTCCGTTCGGTCATTTGAAATATCGTGGCGGAGATACTTCAGAAATCGCACAGCCAAGATTATTTAAATTATTTGCACAAATATTAAAGCAATTTGTTTCTGAGCACAACATTTTCAACAAAAATCATTTTGGAAGA